GTTTTAAAATAGAGTTATGCACTTCGGAAATATTAATTTAAGAGAAAATTGCATTGTAAGCACTCTTTCACAAACCTTTCTTGTGGAGTGAATATGAAATTTATATCATAGATTTATATCAGCGAAGTCTTTGGTGATTTCGAAAATCAGCGTTAATCTATTATGTTATGTCTCTTTAAAAAGCAAGTCATATTTAACATTACATTGTAAGCACCTTATTCGTCATTTTGTATCGAATTTTTATGAAGTTTATATCAAGGCAAACCTAGTTTTATATAACTACTTACAAAATGGGCCTCTATGTTTCTATTACTGGATCAATGCATTTGCTGATGGACATAACTACCCCGAGGGATTACTGGCCCAGTATTCAGGACTTTGTGTTATATGAAATATCATTGATATAAAATTGAGAATGAAAATGGGAATGTGTCAAAGAGACAACAACCCGACCATAGAGCAGACAACAGCCGAAGGCCACCAATGGGTCTTCAATGCAGCGAGAAACTCCCGCACCCGGAGGCGTCCTTCAGCTGGCCCCTAAACAAATATGTATACTAGTTCAGTGATAATGGACGTCATACTAAACTCCAAATTATACACAAGAAACTAAAATTAAAAATGATACAAGACTAACAAAGGCCAGAGGCTCCTGACTTTGGACAGGCGCAAAAATGCGGCGGGGTTAAACACGTTTTTTGAGATCTCAACCCTCCCCCTATACCTCTAGCCAATATAGAAAAACAAACGCAAAACAATACGCACAGTAAAACTCAGTTTAAGAGAAGTCCGAGTCCGATGTCAGAAAAGGAAACAAAAAAACAAAATAAACAAAATGACATAATTCATAAAAAACAACAGACTACTAGCAGTTACTGACATGCCAGCTCCAGACCTCAATTAAACTGATTGAAAGATTATGTCTTCATCATATGAATATCAGGCACAATCCCTCCTGTTAGGGGTTTAGTATTATACCATCATAAAATGTATGAGAAGAACATAACCCGTGTCATGCCAACAACTGGTTTTAGAACAAGGGAACGTCGCCATCTAAAAATGGATAATTAACGATGAAAAATAATCTCTTTTATCATAAATTTTTGTATTAAGCTTCCCGTTATTGATATAGATATCAAGATCGAGGAAAGGACAGTGGTCATTGTTAGTATTAGCTTTATTTAAAGTAAGTTCAACAGGATAAATTTCTTTAGTATACATACTGAAGTCGTCATTATTGAGAGCCAATATATCATCCAAATATCTAAAAGTATTGTTAAATGTTTGTATCAGATGTTGTTTCGATGGGTCTTTGCTGATTTTAGTCATAAATTGTAACACATAACAATACAAAACAGGTCCGCAATAAGTGGTGCACAGTTAGTCCCCATTGGAATTCCGATAAATTGACGATATACGGAATCTCCAAAGCGAACAAAAATGTTATCAAGTAAAAATTCAAGGCAGATATGGTATCAAAGCATGTCCAATTGACATAGTTCTTTTGTTTGTTGCTACTAAAAAATGACCTATAAGAGTTTGAACATATGTATTCGCATTCCGACATTTTAAATGCCCATTTAATTAGGTGTGTGAATTTTTTCTTAATAAGAATATGAGGCAAAGTGGTATATAGGGTGGAAAAATCAAAACTTTGAACAGATTCAAAATCACCAATATATGAATGCAATTTATCAAGTACTTCCAACGAGTTTTTGACACTTCAAAAGTAGTTAATTCCACTATTTTCAAAGGCCTTATTTGAACAATTTATTATCAGGTTTTTGATTGTACCAAGTGTACTAGTAAGTAGAATAGACAATTTAGTAGTGGAACAATGACTTGAAGACGAAATAAATCTATATTTGTAAGGTGATTTGTGTAGCTTCGGAAGCCAGTGCATAGTTGGGACTTTCATTGTATTTGGTTCTGCTTGTAAAGAAGTAGCTAATAGTTTATGTTTGTTACATTGTTGTTTAGGGGCCAGCTGATACGAGAAATAGGATTTTTATATGTTCATTTTCGGTAAAGTTTGTCTCCCTACCATATCCTAATTGCTTATTAGAGTTTATATTATTGTTCGTAAGTATATACCCCTAACAGCAAAAGTTCTGCATTCGTGATCAGGATAAGGTGAATAAACAAAGTACCACTATCAGTGATTATATATCCATTATCGTGATCAGGTTTTGGTGAATAGAGTTATTACATTTCACCTCCAGTGTGATCAGGACTAGATGAGTAGACATATCACATTTATGTTGCCGTCGGGGCAGGATTTGGGGAGTAGAGATGTTACCTTTAAAATGCAGTCTGATCAGTATTATATTAGTAGACATAATACCAATATGTTGCAGTCGTAGTCAGGATTTAGTGAGTACATAGATGCCCATACTATGCAATCGTAATCACAATTAGGAGTAGACATATATCCTCCACTCTATGGTCATGATTAGGATTTTGTGAATTGCAATATGAATATATATCCAGTAACTCTAATCATATGGCAACTCATGCATTACCAGCCGCAACTGAATCAAAGTCATTAACAGATTTAGTAGGTTCCTGTATTCATATAGACATTTTTGTTAACTATAATTATCACCTGAGCTGCTAAGGAGGCCGTGCAGTCGTGATCAGGACTCTATGGGTGGACATAAAACCTCTACATTGTAGGATTTGGTGAATATACTTTTTAAATCTTCGAATTCCATCGATTATACATCCATCCGCATGCATTAACATTTTTTTCCGTTTTAATTTGTCGTATTGACGATGATTGCAATTGCTACTTTTGCTAATTGTGTTTCGCATTTCGGGCAAAGAAAGCATGTCAAGAGATGCTACTCCGTAAAAGCACAAATCCTTCCGTCTGTCTTTATCGTTTTGTTTTGTTTGCTTGTTTTTTTTTGTTTTTTTTTTTAGATTTCCACTGTTTCAATTATACTGTTTGTTTGTACATGGACTTGCTATACTTAGAGTATTTTAAATTCGTATTCAAATTTGATATGAATTAATAAACCAATCACACTTATCAAACATAACTTTATTTCAAGACTTTTGAGTGTTTCGTATTTCAATTTCATTTTTTTTTTAAATCAGATAGGTAACAGTTTTACTGTGCACATTCCTCACAGAACAATCATTTCTTCATAGAATAAGTCTTCTTTAAGTAAACTTGCTAAAAGATCTATTTAAACAAAACGCATATTAGGAATGATAAATCTAAATTAAAATAATTTAACAAGCAGTTGTCTCTTTGAGATAACCAAATACTTTAATTCCAGCAAATTGCAGTTGTCCAGTGCCTACGATATTCAGTTTGACGTAACGACCAATTGCTTTCTTTTTTCAAGTTAAATACAAGATGTTCGCTGTCTGTGCCTGGTCCATCGTAATGTGCACAAACAGTCATGTTATATAGAGTGTTGTCAACACTAATGTCAAGATCATGTAGTCTATATCCTACACAAAATAGAAAAGGAAAACACATTGCATTAAATCAACACATCGAAATAAAATTATATATATGCATGAGTTCGAATCCCGGCGAGGGAAGAACAAAAATTTGATTCCGCAATTTTGCAGATTTAACATTTTTGTGCTGAAATATAGAGTAATTATGAATATACTATGTGTTTTCAGCCGTCTATCACCTTCACTGTTGATATAAGTCTAAATTGAAAACAACGTTCAAACCTATGATTGCGTTGGATAAAAACCGCAATTTTTATACGTGTGCATGCAAAACAAATTTCTTGGTAGAGGGGTCTAAATACAGCACAAACAACATTTTCCAAAAGACCAAAAAAGTGAAAAAATATTTTTTAACAAAACGCATTTGACTAACAGGTCGAACAACTGATGTTCTTAAACCCTGCTGACTGCCATTGGCGATTGCCAAATAAACGGAGCACAAGATGTAACAAAATAGATCTTATTATTAATGTATTACCAAACAGAAAACAAGAAATTTGATGGTATACCGCAAACATGAGGTGCAAAAATTTGTACACCATATCCAGATTTCGACAATTAATGTCTCTTCAGTGATGTTAGGAATCGAAACGGTATTTGGAAGGCCATATAATTTACCTCAATTTAGGATAGACTCTTGAATTTTGAAAGAGTCAAAATAGGATGAACGGATCATATAAACCCGAAGGCAAATATAATACAAGCCCGAACGAAAAAATATAAACAAGTCTAAATTGAAAACAACGTTCAAACCTATGATTGCGTTGGATAAAAACCGCAATTTTTATACGTGTGCATGCAAAACAAATTTCTTGGTGAAGGGGTCTAAATACAGCACAAACAACATTTTCCAAAAGACAAAATGAGTGAAAAAGTATATTTTAACAAAACGCATTTGACTAACAGGTCGAACAACTGATGTTCTTAAACCCTGCTGACTGCCATTGGCGATTGCCAAACAAACGGAGCACAAGATGTAACAAAATAGATCTTATTATTAATGTATTACCAAACAGAAAACAATTAACTTGCGGAAAAGATGGTATACCGCAAACATGAGGTGCAAAAATTTGTACACCATATCCGGATTTCGACAATTAATGTCTCTTCAGTGATGTTTAGAATCAAAACGGTATTCGGAAGGCCATATAATTTACCTCAATTTAGGATAGATTCTTGAATTTTGAAAGAGCCAAATAGGATGAACGGATCATATAAACCCGAAGGCAAATATAATACAAGCCCGAACGAAAAAATATAAACAAGTCTAAATTGAAAACAACGTTCAAACCTATGATTGCGTTGGATAAAAACTGCAATTTTTATACGTGTGCATGCAAAACAAATTTCTTGGTGAAGGGGTCTAAATACAGCACAAACAACATTTTCCAAAAGACCAAATGAGTGAAAAAGTATATTTTAACAAAACGCATTTGACTAACAGGTCGAACAACTGATGTTCTTAAACCCTGCTGACTGCAATTGGCGATTGCCAAACAAACGGAGCACAAGATGTAACAAAATAGATCTTATTATTAATGTATTACCAAACAGAAAACAAGAAACTTGCGGAAAAGATGGTATACCGCAAACATGAGGTGCAAATATTTGTACACCATATCCGGATTTCGACAATTAATGTCTCTTCAGTGATGTTAGGAATCGAAACGGTATTTGGAAGGCCATATAATTTACCTCAATTTAGGATAGACTCTTGAATTTTGAAAGAGTCAAAATAGGATGAACGGATCATATAAACCCGAAGGAAGCGTCTCCGTGAAGGGTAATAGAGTATTTGCCATAGGATAGAGTCGTATTTAATAAAGCGCACACTTGATCAAGCGTCTCCGTGAAGGGTACAGAATAGAGTATTTCCCATAGAATAGAGTAAATGAACACCCTCGTATAAGCCAATCAAAATATTGCATTTCTACGTGAAGTATAATAAATGCAAAATATTCCCGTTTTTTTGTGATGGATATTTAATTCATATCAAGGAAGACATTGATCATTGTAATTAGGAAATAACAGAACTTTATCTGAAGAGTTGCCATCGACAATACGATATTCGATTATTTGGAAATGAAATTGACTACCGACGAGAACTTTTATATAAGCTGCACTTACAGGCACATTGTATAAGATGTACGGGTATTTGGAATGAATTGACTCTTATATAAGCTGCACTTACAGGCACATTGTTTAAGATGTACGGATATTTGGAATGAATTGACTCTTATATAAGCTGCACTTACAGGCACATTGTATAAGATGTACGGATATTTGGAATGAATTGACTCTTATATAAGCTACACTTACAGGCACATTGTATAAGATGTACGGATATTTGGAAATGAATTGACTCTTATATAAGCTACACTTACAGGCACATTGTATAAGATGTACGGATATTTGGAAATGAATTGACTCTTATATAAGCTACACTTACAGGCACATTGTATAAGATGTACGGATATTTGGAAATGAATTGACTCTTATATTAGCTACACTTAACGAACGGGTTACAGAAAAAGTTCAGGAATCAGCTGAATTTGTCGATAAAATTTGATGACGGTTCGCAAACCATAGCACATTTTACTGAAAATAACAATTACGATAAAAAGTGAAACTGTAAACCGTATTTGACAAATAATTTTAATTATTTTATATATTATGACAATAATGGAAGCGAAGCATGGATATAACTACCATACCCACTTGCACCCAAGGAAACAGTACTAATAAGCCTTAAAAATTGCTTTGTTACCATTTTCATCTACATGTACGAGTACACACACAAACCATTAAGCCTCTTTCGTCATATTTTCCATTCTTATAAAGATTCTGACTAACTTACTAAATTTTCATTTTAAGATTAAACGGAAACATATGAACGTAAACTATGTCGATAACATCAGAAAGCATATAAAACCCCAAAATAGAGCAATGACACTTGAATCTTAGTGTCTCATATCATAGACTATTTTCATTGCTTGTATTACTTACAACAAAAAACAGAAAAATCAAATTCCACATTTATGACAAAAAAGTTTTGACAGTGTTCTTGATTCGTTTGTCACAATGTGGACAAAAGTCTATTGATCTACAGCATTGCTCACACGTGACTCTATGTCCACAGTTTGCGAATAGCATGCAACGCTCATTTTTTCTGCAGATGACACATAATAGGTTGTTCTTGAGTTCTTTGTTGATAACTTTTAGTTTTGCTGGATCTGAAACAAAAATTATATTCGGTATAGTCATCAGTGGTACATCAGCTAAATCGCGACAACAATATCTCATTTTAGAAAAATGCAGGTGTCCATTGCTTTCCAAACATGAACAAACATTATTTTGGTGTCACACATTTGTCTACAAAGTTACCTGCAAATTATACGATATTAATCGTAACGTAATAAAATAAGACCCAGCCAGAGTTGTCTTATGAGATAAAAATTGTAGATTATCTTCTCAATTTATACACAAAGTTAGATAACTTATTTTGTAACTCTATACTCTGTATTAAAAATGCAAATTGGTTAAAGTCTGACTTTGGGAATAAAGAATTATTCATGACAATAGCTCTGTAAAACAAGTTAAACCTCAAGTCACTGTAAATGTCAATTTAATGAAAAAGTATGTATCCTCTTCATTTATCTAGCGGTATCGGTGGTTTCATCTAACGACTGACTCGTCCTAACAAGTAGCTTGGTATTGTTTTTAATTGGCTGCGTCATTTTAATCGTCTTAATTCAATTTGAGGGCATATCCCTCAGTTTTATTCACAAAATTTTCCCCATTTCATAATATGTTAGTCATTATTTCAACCGAAATGACATTCTTGATCAACATGTGTAATAAAGCCAATAACTGATCATGACCTCAAAGGAAGAACATGTGTTAATTGAAATACAATATATCATTTTAAAATAGTTATACCTGGTTCGATTCAGTTTATAGTTAAATATTGATACAACAAATTAACAAACATGTTTTTCCATAAGATGAACGTTCTTTACCACCGCTATCCAGCAATCCTTAAGTAAAATATATATTTAGCCCTTCCAACGTTAATTTATTTCATTTATACTCTGTCTTACCATAGAAGAAACAAAAAATTGTCGAACTATTAATAATTATAACTAGTACAATTATTGTGTATAATTTGAATTTGTATATAATATTTCAAAAAGGGACTTTCCGATTTGAATTTTCCTCGGAGTTCGGTATTTTTGTTATTTTACATTTTTTTTCAATTTTCAGCTAAAATATATTGTGAAATACAACAGATATTATTTAATACCTCTTTCTACTGGAAAGGGTCTTGTCGCTTGAGCAGATGCTGTAAAATATAACATAAATACAATTAGTTGAGTCAGAGTTGTGTATTAAAATTAACATGATAACATCTTATAAGTGTTGCCGTAAAGTAATTAAGTAAACGCAACATTTAATATACAATTTAATTTCCTGAAAATAGATAGACTTTCTGCATAATATGTCTTGCAGGTTTTAACACTTACATTGTACACCCATTATTATATAGTTCATTATAATAATCCAGATTGAAAGAGATAGCAATTTTGATATTTGATTTTACACTACATGTACTTTGAATATGCCGCAACAGTATTATCCCGAAATGAAAATGAAAATTGTCGAACAGCATGATTTTTATATCAGGAGGTGGTGTACTTTGGAATATCTAATGTGTCAAACGTTCTGGAAAAATCTTTGTATATCTCTCGCATGATCAACTGAACAGATCGAAATTGTCATATATGAATCAAAGGAGATGTAGAAAATACGTCATTGAAATAGTACCTTGCCAACACAAAAAGAATATCGAAATTGTCGAACATACGGTCTTCAACAGACAACACGTGTCTTTACCGCATAACAAGCTATCCAAATCGACCCGAAGAAAAGCATGAATGAATTTAACAGAGATCGTCAAAGAAATACAATCAGCTACAGATTTCCTAAAAGACGAAAAAACATTACGTAAAACGACAACAATTGGTGAGGTACTGAACTTTTTACAGCTCATGCTAAATGAAGAACTGCTGGAATGAATCTACAATATGATCTTGACTGTTTCTTATTGATAAACTTAATCGTTGTGATCTTACACATAGTATTGTGACATTTTATCAGTTGAATTTCTTAAAATCATGACTTTAAAAGCCATAAAATGGGTCGAATAAACAAATAAACAAATTTGTCAAGATCGCAAAGTTTTATAATATAGTTAATGACAGATTGGCAGTAAAAGAGAAGCAAAAGATTCCAAAGTGACACTCAAAACTCACAAGTCGAAATAAACTAGCTACGCCATGGCTAAAAAAGAAACAGACAAAACGGACAAACAACAGTACACAAAACACAACATTGAAAACTAAAGACTGAGCAACACGAACACCACCAAATACTGGGGGTAATCTCAGATGCTCCGGAAGTGTAAGCAGATCCTGCTCCACATGTGGCACCCGTCGTGTTGCTCATTTTAGTACAAACCCGGTAATAAGTCTAATTCGGTAGGTCACACTCGGTAAAAGTTTACAGATACAGCTGAGATATTCTTATTTTGATGCACAAAAGAGAAATGTAAAGGAATTTTATATCACAAAGGAATGAAATGCAACGAAATATTGTTGATTTGTCACATTTATGACATAGTTACAGGTAAATTCAGAGGAATCCACACCCAAATTTATATAAAATATAATAAATGACTTGCGTTAACGTAATTTTGATAAGATTGTAAAACAACCGATGCATACATGTATTAGATGTACTTTTTAATTTCTGAAAAGGGAAATAACTTATCCCAACGCCTTCATAAAGTATTGAAAATATTTACAACAAACGTTGCTTCGCGTTTGTTTAATTAGATTTTTTGGTTAACCTTCGATTTTAATACAATAGTCCATATTTACAAAGTCTGTAGTTTCTTGAACTGTTTCAGACCTGTTAATTTTCAACAGTCAATAAAGATTGGTCTGTTTAGGTGTCTCTAATTATCTACTGTAACAAATGATTTAAAAACAAACCTTAGTTAGTAACCACTTCGGTGTTATCATGTATATCTATTATATAGTCATTTTTATAAATTTACTGTTTGCAAAAGTATGAATTATTCTAAATACTAAGAATTTTCTTATCCCAGACATATAACCTTAGCCGTATTTGGCACAACTTTTTGGAACTTTTGGTCCTCAATGCTCTTCAACTTTGTACTTGTTTTGGCTTTCGAACTTTTTTTATCTGAGCGTCACTGGTTAGTCTTGTGTGGGCGAAACACGCGTCTTAAATTTTAAACCTGGTACCTTTTGTTAGCTATTATTCGTATGTTTCTCTGTTCTATATGTTCTCCCATTTATTTGTATTGCAGTCCTGTCATGTAATGTTGTCATTTAAATGTTATATTGAACATTGCCTTAAAAGCGGGAGGTTTGGCTAGCCACAAAACCAGGTTCAACCCACCATTTTTTTCTTAAAATGTCCTGTACCAAGTCAGGAAAATGGCCATTGTTATATTATAGTTCGTTTCTGTGTGTGTTACATTTTAATGTTGTGTTTCTGTTGTGTCGTAGTTCTCCTCTTATATTTGATGTGTTTCCCTCAGTTTTAGTTTGTAACCCAGATTTGTTTTTTTCTCAATCGATTTATGAATTTCGAACAGCGGTATACTACTATTGCCTTTATTTACCTTCATTAGATGTCCTCATTGATGTCTGATAATGGCTTACCTTCATTAGATGTCCCCATTGATGTCTGGGAGGATTCTACTGGGTTTAATATAAACTCCAATAAATCTTCAGTACTGAAATTACTATGCCCTGAAAATGATGAAGATAGATTTAAAAGAAAGAATGTTTCTGGTACATATCCCTTATATATTTTGATTAATTGTTGGTGTTTAACACCACTTTCAGCAATATTGACTCCATTATATATTAATTACCAGAGCTTGGACGCCGTTATACGGCTGGAAAGTTCGATTTATAATACATTTAAGTATTCAAAATTCGCTGTTTACCACCAAAAGCTCCTTTTAAAATAAACTTGTGCTAACCGCTACATTATGTATGTGCCCGTCCCAAGTCAGGAGCCTGATATTCAGTGGGTGTTGTTGGTTGCTGTCTATCAAATTTGTTTTTCTTTTATTGCTTTGGTACCGTTAATGTTATTAGTCATGTTGGTGCCTTTTGCAGCGGAATACGGTATGAATGTTGCTTATTTTTTGAAGTCCATACTGTGACCTATAGCTGCTTGAACCCAGGTCATTTGTAATCTAATGGATAGTTGTATCATTGGCAATCAAACCTCGCCTCCTTATTTTATGTTATTATAGGGAAACTATTCGACTATGCAGAAAATTTTGGGCATTCCAAAAAAAAAAAATAAGGGATTTGTTTTAACTACAATTATATATCATGACATATTTTTTATTTGTACATTTGCGACTTTGTCTTCTACGGGATTTCACCACATTGGTTATGCGATAATTACCTACAAAAATCTGTACCACGTCAGGAATATGACAGTTGTTTTCGTTTCGTTCCATTTAGTTGATATTTGTCAGGTTTTATTGGTTTCCCTTTTTGAACATACCTTAGTTGGAGTTTGGTATTTTAATTACTACTTTTTTTCTGAAACTACTAACTTACCTCGAGTTCTGATTAAACTGTTAATGGCAGACTTGACAATGTTAATGGAAAATCCCATTCGCAGTACTGTCTTTGCATTTTCACTTGCTAACAGTTGGTTATCTCCTGAAATAAGAAGTGTTCTGATTACGCTTTTTAATAATACCTGTTGAGGATATGCTTGCACAATAAAATAACGAAACAGGGTGCGAATGCAATTTGACAACGTTCCACCATAGATGATAAGACAAGAATGTCAACAACAACAGTTGAAGACACTTCCTTAATCAATGAGCAACACGTATATCGTATAGAAGTTAAGCTATAAAGATGTTGTACAAATAAAATGGACCTGTTGACAATATAATTTTGTCTGTATTGCAGAATATACAAATATAGATGAGCAATAAAATCAAACTAATCGTGTTACCAACATGTATTCATATACGAAGAGCAATACGGGATTGGAAAAAAACAGAAATGAACAAATTCTGAACGATCTCAATATTCTAGTTTAGAAAACATCTAAATTATGCAAAAGTCACAGAAAGACATATATATATATTAATACATTTGTATTTCAGACAAAATGAGCCATCTAAAGTAGTTAAACTACTTTCATTAAGTAAAAATAAATGAAAAATATATCCATGGCACACATATGATGCACCCGCTTGCATATAACGTTATACAGGTACATAACTAGAGAACTGCAAAACTGATGCCACCCAACTTCGAACTTCATCTGTGTTTTATGGTAATAAACATTGTGTATAAGTTTCATAACATTTGGCTGAGGCAAACTAAAGTTAGAGAACTGAAACCAATTTTGAGACTTACGTACGTATGTACGGACGGACAAGGGAAACACTCAATGCCCCTTCACCTAGCGGCGGAGGAAAAAGCAACAATTCTTCAAAACCTTTTGCCTGGTATTAGGCCAAAATAAAAACTCATGGTTACGATTTCAATGCACATGACAAATCACAATAACTTCTAATGATATAAGTCATTATTTTGGCCCAAAAATTGCAAACTTCAATGTCAAACTAATGGCTTATAGCATACCTCCATTACAAATAGCGTTTATCAAATAGTCCTATAAACAGTATTACCTTGTTCTTCTGTTGTGTTTGTGGTATTGACAGAAGCTTCCTGACGCTGAAAATATAAATATAAAATATTTTATAGATTGCATATTACATGAGTTATAGTTAAAAATAAGTTGTTTTCTACTAGTATTTGAGTACATGCATTTCATTATATATCTAGTTTGTTTTCCCATCTGTTCTTGTGGACATATTATTAAACCCACAGATAAATATCTATATACTACATGTAGATATCGTATAAATGATTGTTTTAAATCTCTTAAGTTTGTTTGATTTTAAACATATGCTGCCAAAGCAGATACTTAAATAATATGACTTTGTAATGATTCTAATGAATCAAGAACACTTTTTGAACGACATCTTTTTATTACCAATTCATCATGATTTTTTTATAGTGATAATATTGTAAAAGTAGATTCCGATTGATATCTAGTCGCTTGTTCAATGCGCGACAAATATTTAAAAAAAAATAGTATTCTGACTAGTTTTTTTGAAACATTCTCGTGTTTATTCTAATGATAGAGTTTCTTAATATAAAATAACGTTTATCACTTATAATTGCAAGCTATACGTTGTTTTTTTATTTTCATGTCAGCAGTTGAGCTATAAATCGGACTCTCAAAATGATAGTGTAGTGTTCAATGCACGTTATCATATGTTTCTAAACCAGTGATATTATGAGCATAATGTAATTGAACGAATTGGTTAACTGATTTTCCAAAATCATCACTATTTCTGTTTGTTACGTATTTCATTTATGTCTAAGTATGAAACCTTTGTACTCATTTGCAGGTGGGTTTTTCTTTCTTGTAAACATGTGATATACAATATGAAACATGCCTATGAAAATAAATGACCAAAAAGTAAAGATGTTAATTCTTTCTGTTTCCGTTTTCCGTTTCCGTTCCGTATTCCTCTTCCGCCTTTTAGCAACCCAGATTTTACATAATGTATTGATGATAAAATGTAACAGTTGTTATTTATCTTGATAGGGACACTTGAAGTAAATGATCTATACCGCATACATTTTTCCTCTGCTTTTATATCTGTTGTTAATATTTACCTGATATTTTTCTTTTATACTACCAATGTACTGCATTCCTTTCATTTTGATGAGATATTTACAATGTGGAAACCACCGTGCGTGTTCTTCCCAAGGGACATCTCCTGATTCCCAGTTTCGTAGTCCTCCATCACAGTAGTGGCAACGAACTATATCATCTTCCCCTGTCAGAAAGAATTTTGTTTAAAAAGTATTATTTCTTTGTTTTTATCATCACGATAGATAAAAAAGAGAGGCGAAAGATACCAAAGGGACATGCAAAATCATAAGTCGAAAATGAACTTACAAAACACGAACCCCGCCAAAATTCGGGAGTGATATCAGGTGCTCCGTAAGGGTTAGCAGATCCTGCTCCACATGTGGCACAAGTCATGTTGCTCATGCAAGTACAAACCAAGTGATAAGTCTAATTCAACAAAATATTGCAATGAAGCATACACAACAGAAGTATCATACTACCAATTACCAATGCAACAGGTAAAAAACAGACGCATTATAACACATTGCCCTTGTGTAAAATAAATTCAAGAAAATTGACCCTATATCCTTGTTGGGAAGTGCATATCCCAGGAAGAATCAAAATACCGGTAGCCATTTGCAGTTATCTATTGAACATTAAATAATTAAAACGAACTTCTGGTAAGTATAATAGCCAAGACATCACTCAATTTTGAAAACTTCTTAAAACAAAACATGTATTACCTGTAGAAAAGAAACCAGCATCCGCCAAATCTTCTGGTGTCTGTTCTATGTCATCTCGCCATCCATCAAAGGTCGCTAACCGAGATAGCACGTCATCAAAGGCTGGATTCTTTGGTTTGTACCGCTTAAATAAATAAAATTTTAAATATGAAACATATAATTATGCTAATAACATAACATAATAAGGGAAGACTATAAAAATCCACGATTATGGTGATGGGAGGATCATCTTGACATGTATGACTTAAGTTTTTGACAGTGTCAAATAATTTCAAGAACTTTTATTGCATATTTGTTTTTTGATATCTTTCTTTTACTATAATTTCTAAGATCTGTTTGCTCGTGTGTGTTGGTCATCTGCAGGTTACATAAACATAATTAATTGTCATCAATATCAAGAAGTTAAACTGAGGGACTACTTTGGCCTTGAAAAATTTAAAAGATGGACAACCATTTAAATGAACAAGTATTGAAACATACGATCTAAGAGGTGGAATAAAATAGAATTTTCAAATTAAAGCAACACAAAAGACGCATATTCATTATAAAGGGGACACATGTTGCAGAAGGTTTTATTTGATTTGTTAGCGAGTAGAAAGTTACGAGACACACCTCATGCGTGGTTTGGACTAGGAATGTGAGCGATGTTATTTCTCAGCATTTGTGCGTCAGATGGTTTGATTTCGTGCACATGTCTTTGCATTTCTGCATTACTTATTAAAAGGAAATGTCTAAACAAAACATAACAGTGTATCGACTACATCACGTACATAGAGCCAACATTATTTTTTAGATTGCGGAAATATGAAATATTTTTATTCGTAAAGAAACTTTGGTTCCTTAATTGTAGCTTCTCTCTCATTGTGATCTTCCTATATTTTTGTTTAGACGATATGGACATGTAAGTTAAAATTGAATCAATACATGTTTTTGTAAATACACTTGGTAACTGGATGTTTTGTGTACAAATAGGGTAATGTTATTGTCACCTCTTGAAGTTTGTTGTCCTTTGCATAGAATATATTTACCTTTTGCCATTCTCCTTGGATCTTATCAATGAACGGCTGTCCTTTTTCACACCTAAGGTACCAGCATTTCGGGTTGTGCCTTGCATGTTCTGTCCAAGGGTCATCTGTTTCAGCCCATTCGGCTAATCCAAGATTACAACAAAAGCATCGCACTATGTCAGTTTTACCTGCAGATTATTATACAACTGAATATAAAATGTAAACACTATGCACATACAATATCTGAAAGAATACAGTTGTGAAATGCACCAACTGCAATATGGGACAGTTTCTTTGTAAATAATCATCATTCATTGTGTTAACATTGCGTAAGAATGTACTACTTACATTAACATTTTGACTGTTCTTGCAACACATTGCACTGAAAATAATTTTCACCTCTAATAGGAGCTAAACAGTAACAAATCTCTAAAGTAATTACCAAATACATGAATTGATTGGTTTGTGTTTAACGCCACTTTCAGCACTATTTGGTTTTTCGTAGAGGTCAGTTTTTATTGGTGGAGGAAGCCGGAGTGCACGCAGAGAACCACAAATCTTCGGTAGGAAAACTGACAATCCTAGTCAATTAAGATTGGTGTCCAACGCACCTGCCACGTGCACGATTCCAACTCACAACCTCAGTGTTGACAGGCTAGTGATACAGAAGTTCGACTATTTAGACCACTTGGCCACCGAGGTCCCCATTTTTAAGTATGGTATACAAATGGTAAGAATAGAAAACGGATGTACAGCATTTACAATAATTCAACTTTTACAACCTTCCGCTAGTACAAAATTTCCAGTCATTTTAAGTCTATCTTATACCAATGTTTCAACTTGCCCGATACATAATTTGGGTGCACGAATTTTTTGTTTGTTTATATATGTGTAGTATATCGGATTTATATCGACCTGGTAACAGATTTTTTCTAGGTACACAATATTAGTGTATATCACAATCAAGAAATATTAAGAATATATAAAAATATATTTACCATTTTAAATGGGAGTTATTAGATTTGAGTTGAAATAAAGTAATGCCCTGTGTATTTGTCAAACATATAGGTTATTCTGTTTAAATCATATTACTGTATATTTTTCGGTGAAATGAATGATATACAATTAAAAAAAAACAATTACCTATGGTTACAATGTACGTTAAACAACAAAATGTTCACATACCTGTGTAGAAACAGCCGCTTTCTGCCAATACCTTTGGTGGCTGTTTTGCCGTAATAGGCCACTTATTGTAGGATTCCATTCTGTCTTGAAAACGTCTGTAGTTTGGATGCGAAAATTCTGGTTCATAAACAGTTTGTACTCGTTCCGATTGAATTGTGGACACGGGAACGTCTATGTCTATTGAATTACTATAAGCACTTCTTTTGAATGGTGATTGCAACTTTGAATTGAAAGGAGTCGGCCGATTGGCGACGTATTTAAATGCTGCTTCTTGACCATTCACCGAACCTGAATTTGTTTGCTCATAAGAGGTTCGTTGTCGTTCCAGCTGATTAGTAGACACAGGAGAGTCCGTATTTATTGATTGGCTATAGATGTTTTGTCCAACGGTCGACTCTAATTGTGTGTTCAATAAAGTCTGAGGACTGGATGTAGCACCCTCCGTCATTGCCATACTGTTAGATACTAAACCTGTGTTATTTTGCCAGTTCTGTGTATAATTACCCTGTGAACTTCCAGATATATATAACTCATCTTTGTTCGGCATAAGCATAGAGGTATTTGAGCCCTTGTTTGTGTCTACATGTGTGGTACTTGAACCAGATGCACCATTGTTCAGCGAGGTATTGCTAATATGGTTGTTAGCCGATGAACCAGACCAAATATCAGTATTTTTGTTGCCATTGTTCATTAATGAAGGCAACGGTATCGAAGTTTTCTCCTGCGAACCTAAAAGCGAGTTTTCATTCAAATGATTGCATTCGGAAGAGGTTTTGTCGCGTTGCAAACTATCGTTTCCTTTCAATCCTGTAACAGTTGGGTCACTTACACAAAAATTAGAATTACCTGTTGAAGAAGAGGCTACGTTATTACAATGTCTTTCTGTTTCAGGTTGCTTATCATCCCTTTCATTTCTTTCATGATACTGTGATAAAGTTGTCCCATGTTCCACTGAGGCACCAACACCTATTGATGAACTATTTTGGCCTTTTGTAACGTCTTTTAAGTAAGGGAAATTGCCTTTTACAAATTCACAGTCATTGTTGAGTTTAAAATGAACCACCTCAGGCTTTTCAAGTCTCTGCCAGCCATCCACAACTGTTTTTACTCCACATGTTGCACATCTGACTGTTGTTCCTTCTTTTGTATAATAAAATCCAGCATTAGAAAGCTGTTGAGGCCATACGTGGGTTCTAATTGGCCAATCTGAGAATGTTAGTAGCCGTCTAGACGGGTTGTCTAATGATATATTGTTTTGCACAGGCATAGCGATATCGACTGAAAACGGCATCATTACCTTCTTTTCAGAATAGCCCGTCGATAAACGTTTTAATATTTGCATGTCATGTAGATGCTGCACATGTTCAAGTTTTTGAGAAACTCTAGTGAACGAAGTTTCGAAATTTCCCTTTGATTTGCACAAAGTTTTTTGTGTCGTTTTTTGTTTCTTTCTGAGATTTGCAAATCCTTTCCCTAACTGTTTATTATGGCACTGTTTGACCGCGACAGAGAAAGCTTGAAAATTGCTGTTGATATTGAACAGTTTGTTCCATACTTTTATTTTTCGTAATACATCTTGTTTTCTGTATCTTGTTTCAATCATATGCACAATTACGGACAAAAGTTTCTTGCATATGTTTTCAAGAACTGCCCACATTTTTTTTCGATATATTTTATAACAAAGATCCAATAATGTTTTACAGTTTTGAAATTTCTTTAACAGAGCAGAAGCTTCGTGGTTTATTTCAGTATGAAATTCTCTAGTTATACCAGCCTTTTTGCTGTTATTATTACCATTTAGAAGACCAGAGTCTCTCAGTCCTTCCAAACATTGTTTAATTGAATTTGCATTTGCTCTTAGTTCACTATTAGCAAATCCCAGACAATTTGGTTTTGCGATATTTTCGCAGAAGTCTGATATTTCTTTATCTTTGTCATCTATACCATAGTTTTCTCCATGACCGTTGCTTAACGAACGACAAAAATGTCTTTTACCAATCATTATCAATACAGTTGTTTTTCACTTCTATAAAAGATATAACTTACATAAGAAACCGGAAGTTCTTTAAATTTTATATCAGCGTTAAGATTGAAATGCAAAAAAAAAAAGATTAATTTATATTAAATGTAATTTATACACCAATGTATGTACATGCACGGATAACTAGGTATTCAGTTAACTAGGTACTTACATAATCCATTGTCATTGATGTTTTTCTTAAGATTTACATATAATTTCAAGCAATGTGTAGCATACATATGTTTCCCAAAACGCATGTACGTGTGTACTATTCATTTATTTAAAGTCAATAGAATTTACCATTCAGTAGATCTATAGATTTGCAGTTTAAACTAATGAACATATTCTGCCGCTTTAATCACTTTGAACTTATTTGCTGAACATATCTGTTCACTTCAATCATATGAATATATAATTCTTGGTCATATGTTTACTTAGTAAGTCTGGTGCCTCTTATGTTTTAATTATTATAAAATTCACTTACCATAATCCATAAGGCAATTTAATATTTGATTGTAACTAGGCCATATCATTACATTACATTATAAATAGTGTGTGTGTGTGTTACCTTAACATATAGTAGGTCAATGGAACATAAAAAGTGACGATTTTTAATAAACAGCACATTGTATACCTGTACTAAATACGCAATGTACGATTATAATACTTTGAAAACTTATTTGCAATATATATATATATATATATATGTATCTTTCGCACTGAAACTCTTTATAGGTCTTTTTTTATTATAGGTGCATTATGTCCAGGGGCAAATATTGCATGCATGTTCAGTCCTTTTGTGTCCTTACTTTGGACAGGCATATACAGAATGTGGCGGCGTTAAGCATGTTTGTGAGCGCTCAATCCTCCCATTACCTTTACTATCTTTATTGGGAAATAGACCGGTGTAACTGTAAAAAATCAAATTGGAAAAGGCTTAATAGCTCAAAAGATCGATACGAAGCACCGATATATAAAAAGTAATCGCAGTTACTGAAAGCTATAGTTCAAAGCCAGTTACAACTTATAAATCATTTATGATCCCCCAGACTTAACTTAGGAGATCATATGCTTATAAATATATTGTTCATATTATGTTTATTCTATATATATGATCGCATTTTGAAATGTACATTTATATCATAAATGTATTTAAATAAAATATGTATAATGCCAGCTCAGTCAGACTACACTGCTAAATGCATTCATTAATTTTGTTTGTTGTTATTGAGGTGTAGTACGTTAAGACTTTATATATATAATATATGCATGCATACAGATAACAAAAATGTAATAAAAAGTTAACGTACCCATTATATATAGGAAAATGTCGTCGATAACGAAAGTCGAAATTGGCTTACAATTTGCAAATATTTCCTGTTGTATCTTGTTTATAAGTTAGCGATGTTATTGATAAAATGTAAATTTTCATTTAAATATAGAATAAGGACACACTGAACTATTAACCCATATGGTCTATAAATAACATTCAATCTATATTGGCGTGGATCAGTTTGCAAATAAACCACTGTGTCTAAACTACCCCGGCAAAAAATGTTTGGACTCGATAGTATCTAATGTCCGGTACGGTGACGGACAATCAACAGACAGAGAAAGGTAGAATTTCTGTTTATTTATTTGTTTTTTAATGACATTGAAGAATAAACATACACATATAACTATTTTCGATTGTGTGATGTAATATTTTCTACAACCGTTCTAGATTAATGGAGAAATAAGTAAAAAGGCACATGAAAATGGTGATTTGAGTGAACCTTGCTACGAATTTGTTTAATTTCTTTTTAAATTGTGCACATTGTACGGAAAGAAAAGTACGGAAAGAAAGATATTAACACAGAGATTGCATGGATAGTCACTATGAGCACCTCAATATTTGCATTTCTGTGCATGGAACGAAAGAAATAGGTCATGTCAAATTGGAAGGACCCTGTTTCGTCAATGTTGTTTATTACACAAGGACCCTGTTTTGTCTCAGTATAGGACCCGGTTTTGTTTTGTTTTGAAACCACAAATTTATGAAAAGCTACGTTAGCACGGATCTGGACATTGCCCATCGGAAGAAATTAAATATTTGAGTCAAAAAGATGTTATTGCAATACAAACATGTGTTAAAATATATTTGAAACGGAAACTTTTCGAAATAGGGAGTAGAAATTTTTGAATGCTATACGTATACCTTATTGATCTTATCTTCGAACTAAGTTTAAATGGAAATAAATACTTTATATCATGTACTAACATTAATGCCTTATGATAGAAAAAAAGAAGATGTGGTGTGATTGCCAATGAGACAGCTCGTCACAAGAGATCAAATGACACAGAAATTAACAACTATAGGTCGCCGTACGGCCTTCAACAATGAACAAAGCTCATACAACATAGTCAGCTGTAAAAAGCCCCGAAATGACAAGTGTAAAACAATTCAAACGAGGAAACTAACGGCCTTATTTATGTACAAAAAAAAGGAACGAAAAACAAATATGTGACACAGCAACAAACGACAACCACTGAAATACAGGCTCCCGGCTTGGGACAGGTAAATATATACAGAATGTGGCGGGGTTAAACATCTTAGCGGGATCCCAACCCTCTCCCTAACCTGGGAAATTGGTGTAACAGTACAACATAAGAACGAACTATAAAAATCAGTTGAAAAAGGCTTAAGTCATCAGATGGATACAAATAGAAATACATCTCAAAAATGTTTGTTTGTTTTCTATACTACTGTAATGATGTAAAAATAAGAAGATGTGGAATGATTGTGTTACCATATCAATTTATCAAAAGAGTAAGGATAGTATGCTTTACTATACGCTATGTTTACAATATATTTACTCATTCGTTCATCCATTGACGGACAGTGAGAGAAAAAGCTCCGTTTTGAAGGCCGTACTTTGACCTATAATGGTTTACTTTTACAAATTGTGACTTGGATGGAGAGTTGTCTCATTGGCACTCATACCACATCTTCTTATATCTATTAGAACGTTTTGGATATCTCAAAACAAAATGGTTGCCTTTCGAACGTGTATTTTATGTCCGCTTCGAAATACACAAGTTCTAAACTTCCCCATTAGAAACAAAATAATTCTATCATGCCATGCTCTACGCTCATTTTAACATAGGTAGGCATTATATTTGTCAATATTTTATACCTGGCTAACCCTTGGTTTAAAAATTTTAACAAATATAATGCCTTCCTATGTCAAAATGAGCATTGAGCATGGCATGAAAGAATTATTTCTTTTTATAAATAAAAGTTGGGTTGCAACATTATAACGTCCAATATCTTCGTCTTCGTCTTCGAAGAACAACCTAATTGTCAAATTTAGCCCGTGAAAAATGACAATGAGACAGCTTTCCATCAGAGACCAAATGACGTAAAAGTTAACAAATATAGAACACCGTATGGCATCCAACAATGAGAAACGTCCATACGGCATAGCAAGCTAAAAAAGGCCCCGAAATGAAAACTGTAAAAAAAAATAATGTGGAAACTAACGACCTAGATTTATGTACAAAATAAAAAACGAAAAACAAATACATGTATGATATATAGCAACAAAAGACAACAACCGATTTACAGGCTCCTGAATTCGGTATTGGTACATACAGAATGGCGAGGTTGGACGTGTAAGCCACCCCCCCCCCCCCCCGCTCCCCCTCCAAAAATAATAAACAAGAAAAAAACTGGTATAACAGCACAACATATGAACAAACTATAAAATTCAGTGAGTTGAAAAAGGCTTAACTCATTTGATTACAGAGACCCTATAGTAAATATGCGATTGGCGGCTGTCTCTGTTTTTTCGTCTTTTATTAAATTTTATGATGGTATACGATATAGTTACATTATATCAGTGGCGGATCCAGGAGAGTAGAGGGAGTACGCCGACCCCCCCCCCCCCCCCCCCCCCCCCTTTTTGGTGGCTAGAAATAATTATTTTATCATGTTTTTTACGATTTATGTATGATTTTTTATTTAGCATATAATCGTTAAAAAAAATTTCCCCTTGCTACGCTCGGCGGTATAAAATCCGTTTATGAATACGCCCCTTTCAAAAATCATGGCCTCGGTCCGCCCTTGCATATTGACAATTTTAAACTTGACCAAATTGCTTAAATTGTAGAACATTTGTCAATGTACGATAATCATTATACAATGAAGAGATAAACCTATATATAATAGTTGTACTATATAGGGCAGTTGTTAACAACTTGATACTAGTGCATTAAAGAATTTGTTAATGTTAAAAAAAAAAAAGAAAAAAAAAAGAGAGATAAAACATCGTTTATTTATAAAAATTACTAATCAAATAATCATTATTGCAATTTCCGGATGGCCTAAGACTTTTATACTATTTTATACTTAGTATTATTGTAACAAGGAGGAGTAAACAGATTTTTAACGCACCATTATTGTGATCCTTTGCGCCGCATGGAAATTCCTTTTCTTGGGCGATTCTGCATGCACATACATTTGTCTTATTCTCTTGCTTTATAATGAACGTTTAGTTTCAGAATATTTATTTTGAAACGAGTATACTGTCTTCATTTTAAGTAGAGCGGAACACTAAGATAACCATCTTGTTGTCCCAGAAAATCACATATCAAATGTGCGTCCTTAAATTTTCAAGGCCGTACACTAATTAAGTTTGAACACTTAAATTTACATAGAGGATATAAAAAAAAACTAATTCCGTTTCAAAACCTTCCATTTCTTTTTAATTTTTCCTTTTTTTTTATACAAAACAAAATTGAAATTTGCTTTGTTCTAATATAGCAGTAATTCAAGTGTTTACGGATTCAAAAAGGTTATAAGTTATCCTCTGAAAGAAAATGTTTTTCAACGATCCCTCAAACTGCTGTTGAACGCCATATTTTAATTTTCGTCATGCGATTATGCATTATTTTCTATGACAAAACCGGGTCTGCTTTGTGAAATTTAAGGACAAAACCGGGTCGTACACATTGACAAAACCGGGTGCTTCAATT